AATTACACAAGTGCACAATACAGTAAAGTTCTTTCAGGTGGTGTTTACTAATATAGAAGTGGAAGCTCTCAAGAAATGTGCAAGTAGGTTTTCTATGGAACGCTTAGAGGAGTATATCTATGGAGCAGAGATGCTGATGCAGCTATTAGGGCTTGGCCCCAGCATTCTTTGGGAGGTCTCAAAGAGGCAAGCATTGCAGTTCTTCATTAGCTTGGGTAAGATTTAAGTCAGAAGAATTTCCAGTTTACCTACTTACTGTGGGCACTCACCTGTCTCGGCAGATAATGGAAGAGTTTACCTATAGATTACTAACTTAACAACTCCCAGATGAGAGCTTCACATGCCCATGGGAACTCACACTGGGATCTTGAGGCTGTCAAGAGCGTCAAGGATCAAAGCAAATTGAAAACCTATCACAGTCCTTGTCTTCAACAGCTGCCCACACAAAAATTTATTCTTCAGCCAGGGTAAATTTTCCTTGGCCACAAAGTTGTCATCTGGTGAAGGTGTAAATTTTTCCTGGATATTATATTTTAATATTTGATTGTCATAATTTCGATGGTGGTGAATCACTCTTGAATACAGTGAACTGTGAAAGCAGCATAAACCTGATTTTAATCAACATGTCACTATGCATTTTTATATATCTGGGAAGCCTGCAAATGAACCCTAATTGCCAACTGTGGATGGAAGCTGGGGTTGACTTCGGATAGGCTCAGAAACAAGGCAATCACTTTCTCAATTATTATTTTTTGAGGGGGCACCTGCCATTCTAGTTGAAGGTGTGGGGAAGTCAAAGAGCCAACCTGGATTTCACTCGTCTTCTTTGGGGGGCGGGCAGGCAGGGAAAAGCTATAATCCATATAAGGGACACAATTGTGGCATTTGGGCCTCAGTCTAAACTGAATAGTGAATTGTCATGAAACACGCATTTTGAATTTGAGGAATATTTCATGAGTCTTTTGCAATGAAAACTATTTTACTTTCATTATTTGTACAGCACATTGTCTGCCACCCCAAGTCTGTTTCACCCAACTATCACATGTAGAATTGGGTGAAGGAAGAGGAATTGGGATCTTTCCTACTGGACCTGCCTCTCCCTGCCTTGCATGGATCCTTAAGGTTGGTGTCAGGGGTTCAGAGACAGAGGCACAGGTGAGGGGGGAGACGGAGAGCGATGAGGAAGAATCCCAGGACAGTGAGGAAGAGGATGACAATGACTTGAGGTCTTCCATGAGTCTCTCAAGTGAATCGGAGGATTCCCAGGAGGGGGCGCCCCTAGTCAGGACAAGGGGGGTCACAGGGGGGACCTCCCAGGAGTCAGGGACGGCACCAGAACCGAGCAGGGAGTCGCCCAAGAGGGGAGGTCACCTAAGGACGAACCCGTCAACGAGGTCACAGAGATTCTGGACTCGAGATGGGGGGAAGAGGGAGTAGAATATTTTCTCGCCAGGGAGGGCGCCCCGGCCAGCGCCAACAGTTGGGTGCCGGACTACGCTTTGGACGAACCCCTCCTCAAGGACGAGTTCCATGCCCTTTTCCCACACAGGCCCATGCCAGCACAGTTTTTCGACGATTGGCTTTTTACGCCCACACTTTCTGCCAGCACCTTCCGAGGGTTCTCCTCCGCAGAGGAGGCGACGCCAGAGTCGAGCCCTCCAAGGGGATCGTGTTCGGGGGTGGACACCGACCCTTCTTACTGGTGGGACGATCAACCAGAAGAGGACTGGCGCGCGAGGTGGAGGATGGGTCCTTGGCAAGCTGACCCCACCCAGGCAACAGGGGGAGGGGAGGACGTGAACATGTTGGGAGAGGACAATGGGTTGGAGCACACAAACAATGAACTGGAAGCAGAGGAGATCGATGTCGACGACCTGTGTCCGGCAGCGACCTCCGCAACGACGGAGCCCCCGGAACCTGCGCCCGAGCAGCGGGAGGGGGGAAGGGGGGCTTCGAGGGGGGATGGATGTCAGGGGTTCAGAGACAGAGGCACAGGTGAGGGGGGAGACGGAGAGCGATGAGGAAGAATCCCAGGACAGTGAGGAAGAGGATGACAATGACTTGAGGTCTTCCATGAGTCTCTCAAGTGAATCGGAGGATTCCCAGGAGGGGGCGCCCCTAGTCAGGACAAGGGGGGTCACAGGGGGGACCTGCCAGGAGCAGGGAAGCAGCAGGGAAACCCCGAGTGGGAGTGGGAGATCGGGGCCGGCTTCCCAGCAGGAACGAAGTGAAGAGAGGGGAGTTCCCAGTGTGGCACACGGAGCGGAGCAGGAAAGAGACAGGGGAAGGAGATCGGGGCAGGACGTCCTGACGGAAGAGGCGGAGAGTAGTACAGGGAGTAGTGTAAGTGTCAAGAGGAAGGTCAGGGGTAGCGAACGCGCGCCAAGTTCAAATGTGGAGGCGCGCGGAAATGGAGGAAGCCCGGAGGAGGAGCCTAGCCCCAAAGCACGAAGGAGGGGGAACAGGCATCTGAGGAATCCGCTTCAGGAGACAGCAGGAGGGAAGGAACCCAGGGGGGCAGGAAGACCCTGCGGAAAAGGAAAGACAGGAAGAGGTGGTCTAGCACAAGCCTCTTAAGCTGGTGTAGAGGCGGGACCGACTCAGAGGGGACTTCAAACGTCTAGGCTAAAAGACGCGGGGCTGCACGCCTCGGTTGTGGAACCAATAATGAACTGCAATAAACATCCTTGTATATAAGAAGAGCTTGGCGTTGGTCTTTTGTGAGCTGAGACCTGAGGCAGCCTCTGACACTTGCCATTTTCTGAAACTTTTCCAGTTCTATACTATTCTTTTTGAGGTGCAGAAACCATATTTCTATAAGTACATTTTCATACTAAGTCTTATTTTAAGCCACTATCCTAATGATCCATAATACAGAATTCATATTTTCCACAGAAACTGCAATTCAGGTTTACTTAGAAGTGAGTCCCAGTGAATATGCATTTCTATTCCATTGAATTTAATTTGCTTCTGAGTAGAAAGAAAGAAAGAGAAATTAACAGTAGATTGCGTGGAACTTATTCTCGAGTAATGCCATGCATTTGTAACCACAAAATTTGATTACTGCAATGCACTCTATGTGGGGCTGCTCTTGAAATTGGTCCAGAAACTGAAGTTAGTGTGACCACAACTTATTGTACATTTTTGAAGCAGCTACAATAGTTGCCCATCTGCTACCAGATAAGGTTGAAGATGTTGCTTCTTGCTTATATGCTGATGGGCCAGGCTACATGAGTGACCACCTCTCTATTTACACTTCTCTCTGCCACTATGCTTCCAGACTGAGAACCTCCTAGTAATATGGTTTTCATTGTTGTGGACCCATTATAAGACATTATAATTTTGGTCAATAACCAGTAGAACCCATTGTATATAAGGCATCACAAGTGATTTAGAGGAGTGTGACCGTTCAGTCACATTGGGCACAGAGCCTCGGGGGTGCCACAGGGAACTCTACAACTGTAATGTAGAATGGAAGGCAAGAGGCAGGGCTGTTCCAAATTTTAATGTTACACAGGGTGCCGCAGAAATTTAAGATCCCAATGTCTTTCATGGAAGGCAAGCACTAACAATCTATGTTTAGGATTCATATGGAAGACTGCTTTTATTTATTCAAGCTTTTTCCCCCAAAAGAAATTTGTAATTATTGTCCCCTGGTCATTTTATACTGTTAGACTTTAACTGTGTTAGTCATTGTATATGTTTTATACTCTATTTTGTGGTTTTCTCTACATTGTCCTGATAAATATTATCATATGAGTGGTCTATAAATTTCTTAACATAAGTGAATAACTATGAATAGGATTGCACTCTTTTTCTTGTTTGAGGGAAGATTGGTCATACCAGCAAGTTATTTATGGATATGATTAACTCTCCAGAGGTCATGGAGTAAGTGTTCATGATTTTGGAATGGGGAACACATCAGCAGGGAAGTCCAACTCTGACAGCAAACCTCCCAATTAAATTCCTAATTGTTTGTGAAAAGATCTAAATGATGCATGCAAGACCAGCATCTGCTCAGGAGTCTGGAACACTCTTGCTCTGAGGTGAAAGTATTTTGGTCAGGGAACCTGGACAAAGTCAGATGAAGAAGAGAAGTGTGCTTAAGGATGCAAAATCCATTTGGAGATAAAGGCAGCTAATGGGACTTAAGAGTTCTTTTACCATCTCTAGTGCGGAGTCCCAAACTCCACACTAGGGCTCAGCTCAAATGCCTTCCCCTAATGTTGCAACAATGCTCACCGGCATACTCACAGGGAGAAAGATTTTGATGAATTTATCAGAGGGCCCCTCCCCTGCTTTTTTTTGCTACATAATACTGTTGCCTTATGTTAAGCTTGTGATATATTAAGACCCTGATATCCTTTTCACACATTCCACTGGCAAGCCAGGTAACCCCCATTTTATATTAGTGCAGCTGGACCTACCAATTGTCCCTATTTAAATTAATTTTGTTTGTTTGGGCCCAGTTCTCCAACCTGTTACAGTCATATTGAATCCCAATTCTGTCTTCTACAGTGTTAGCTACCCCTTCCAGTTTGGTGTTATCTGCAAATTTTATGAGCAATCCCCTCAGCTTCATCGAAGCAATTTATAAACACATTGAATAACAACTGGCCCAGACAGAACCCTACAGCACCCGACTTGCCACTTTTTTCCAGAATGATGAGGAACCATTAGTGAGCATTCTTTGGGTTTGGCCAGTCAACCAGCAAAAAGACAACCTAACAGGTTCCTCGTCAAGCCCACATTTTACCAGTTTCTCTGCAAGAGGATAATGAGGATCTTTGTCAAAGGTTTACTGAAATCAAGATACACTACTTCCACAGCATTCCCCTGATCCACCAAGCTTGTCATCCTATCAAAAGAGGAAAAAAGAAATGAGATTAATCTGGTATGACTTGTTTTTTGAGAAACCCATTCTGGGTCTTAGTAATCACAGCATCCTTTTATAAGTGATCACAGTCTGACTATTTAATTATGTGTTCTGGCTTTCCCTTAGATTTGACATTCCATTAAAGGTGAAAAACACTGATCACCACCCACATGATGCAGGCAGAAGGTGAGTAACATAATAATTACCTTTAAAATATTACTTTGGATTCCCTCTCTTTTGTCTTTTTACTCCAGATATAGACTGATCTCAAAGGAGAATGTCTTATTGCAAGAAATTTTGTTTCTGTTTCATTCCACCTTTGGTACAATAATAATAATAAAATAATACAGGGTTCATTTTAATAAAATTGTATGATAGTGCTCACCCATATTAGGGTTTTTCTTTTTCTTTGTTATACTGTCTGTTTGTTCTCGGGTTGTAATTTCAATAGTTTCTTTGTTACTTGATCCAATTAGCTTCAGTTCTTCACAGTGAAGGCTTTGATAAGGAGCGAGGGCGGGGGGAGGAAGAGGGGATCTCTCATCTTTTCATCTCCATCTGGCAACAATTGAAATATCTTTGAAGTCCAAATTGTTGGGTAAGAATGGCAAAACACAGGAACAAATGTCACAACCAATTTCTTTCTTAGCTGAAGACTTGGATGCAAGTTGCCTTATACTGAAATAATTACACTACACAAGTAATTATCTTAACCCAGTTTGTCATAATTCAAAATTAATGTTAATTAATCTTCTGTTTTCAGGAGTGTAATTCTACACTAACACCCGCTAACATTTTTTTTAATATTACAGTTTTTAAGTACCTTTAAGTACATTTGACAATTCCATCTTATAATATAAATACATAGCATGAAAGAAAAATCTCTATGGTACATTTTAAATGTATTTAGGTAAATCTTACAATTCCTCTTCATTTGGAGCATTTCAAAGGTTCCATGCCCAATGGCTTCCCAGTTCTGAACCTTAGTAATTTTACTTCTCTCCATTAATACTGTACTTCCCTCCTATGATATTCCAGCATTAGATACTTGCAATGCTGAAAAGGCAAGTCATTTTTCACTTTAACTTGGGGTGGGATTACTCTGAAAAGTGGCTTGCCTTTTTGGCCTATAAACTTTCAAGAAACCCTTGGCTCTTTAACCCCCCCCCCCCCGTGGTTTCAGAAATGACATGAAAGTATGCAAGGGGAGCCATTAACTCCACTCCAGTGGTGTGCAGTGGACTTTTTTGTAGGAAAACAGTTAGTGCCAGAGGTGCCAGCTTGCAAGGCTGGTGGGTGTGGGTGTGGGTGCGTGTGTGATATTGCAAGCATGAGCATCACATCTCCCTAAATTGGGCAGAAGCTTCATGGGCTTTGGGAAGGAGGACGTAGGCCTTTGAAAGGATGTTGGAGCCCTACTGTCTCCTTCCCAAAGCTGGGCAGGTCCCAGTTGTAGCATCATGCCTCCCATCCTAAGTTGGATAGAAGCTTCCTGGGCTTCGGGAAAGAGGCACCAGGCTTTAATAATTTATTATTCTAATTTACTAGGAACATTTAATAGAACTAACCTGGTCTTCCTAGTCCACTGACCGCATGTCACTGCTCCACTTTAAGAACCATTGCATTAGTTCATTCAAATTATTTAAATAGTTCTCTTTGGCCTTATATAGACTGCTTTTTTGCACTGTTTACATCTATCTAATAGAAGCAGGGAACTATGTAACAATTCTTTAATCCAATCAATGTCTGCAACACCTGTAATCTCATGTGTCAACAGTTTTGTGCTGGTTCTGCTATCTCATTCAAATGAGATTTAAGATATGTAATCCAATATCTAATCTGATCACTATTTTTCATGTCTGTTCAGCTCCTTTACAAAAACAAAAACCCTTCTTAACCCAAACATGGTTGAGCTTTCAACTGCTTGAACGAAAATGCAACGTGAAGGGCTGTGTTCTAACACTTTTCATGCTCAATAGGGTTTCAGAATTCATTGCTTGGTTTTGTTGTTGTTGTTTTTAAGAAAAGAAATAATAAGAAATACTTGGACATGTATACTAATGGCTCTGGCCCTATATGCCTGACAAAGTGTCTCCACCCCCATTGTCAGCTCCAAGGGCCTTCTGATGGTTCCCTCATTGCAAGTAATGGAGTTACAAGGAACCAGGGAAAGGGTTCATGGTAGTGGTGTCTGCCCTTTGGAACATTTTCCTGTCCTGTTAGATGTCAAGTAATTAAGACATCTGTATAGAGGAGGCTTTAATGTTTGGTGTTTCATTGTGTTTTTATATTGTGCGGAACTCCACATCACCATCTAGTGTCACAGTGTCAGAATGCTTAAACAACACATATAAAGTGCTATTTCTTTGCCAATGTAGCTGAGTCCCAAGTTATTTATAAAGACGTTGAACAACTGTGCACCTTACTTGTCACTTTCTTCCAGGATGACTCAGAACCATTAATGAGCACTGTCTGGGTTTGGTCAGTCAACCAGGTACAAATCCAACAAACAGTACAAAACACATTTCACCAGCTTCCTCACAATAATATCATCATGAAATACAATCCATATAGAAGTAACTTGTGCTGCATCTTGCATAACTTTTTTTGGGGGGGGCACACATACATGCATGTGCATTTGTTGATGTGTTGGTATGTATCTGAATTGAGGTTTATATATCTTGGTGCAACCCCCTCAATCCTGTTAATGGTAACAGTTCTATAGATTTGTTCTATTTGAAAGTAGCTTCCCAAAATCCCACACACACACCCTTCAATGTACTGTTTTCCAAGCTTTCTATTTAAGCAGGTTTGCACTGCTGCTGAAATGCTGTACTATAATTAGCAGCACACAAATAAGAAAATAAAGAACGCCTGTATTTAATCTTCCAGGAAAGAAAGTTGGGGCAGAACAAAGCATTTTCTCATGTGGGGTAAGGAACTCTTTTCAACCAAAGGGCCAAATTCCCTTCTGCGGACTATATTCCTTTATTGGGAATAAAGCCAAAAGGCAGAACAATAAATACGATTCTCACAAAGTTCGAAGACATATTCAAGTCAGGCAAAAACACCCAATGAAGATGCAAAGCAGTGTTGATGAGGGGTGTGGCTTGAGAGGATATGTGGCCTGCCAGGGACTGACTGAACACTGAGGAATGGTGGTTGGATTCTGATGAGTGGGCACTGGGAAAAACGGGGGTTATAGACTGACTTGGAAGAAAGAATCACTGATCTGGAGGAGCCTGTAACAGCTGGGAGATGTGAGGCAGAGGCAAGAGAAGCTGCAGAATTGGAGAGGGGGAAACAGTAGGAAAGAGGGGTGGGTCAGGCTGGTGTAGAGTCAGGGGTTTCTACACCTCCTTCTCCTGCCTCAACCTCTCCTGTCCACTGTCTCCCAGGAACAGAAGAGGATTGAAAAGAGAGGAGCAGAAGTAGGTTACACACAGGCAGAGACTTCTCCAGCTTGTGCGCAGCTTGAGTGGGGGAGATACGTAAACTGAGAATGGGGGTGGGGCCTCTCTGTTATGGCAACTGCTTCATCAGGTGCACACCAGGGTTAGGAGCTGCCCTGCCTTTTCTTGCCCTATCGGGCAAGAATGTCCCTCCAGTCTTAAAATAATGAGGTAATATTGGGGAAGCATCACAGGACAACTAATAGATTGGAAGGGTGTATGGATGGCCCAGTATAAACCATTAATGCAGGGTTATTGTATAAATAACATGTTGCAGGTCGGGAGACGGGGGGCAAGGATGCACCCTTCTAGTGCTGACCTGAAACACCAAAGAACAGTGTTAGGAAGAGGTTATCCCAACCACCAGAATTTCAGGAAATGCAGGTGTAGCAGCTAAGTGGGCATATATGCCACTTAGCAATGTGTAAGGTATAAGGTACATTCTGTTTCCTGTCCCCCAAGCATACCAGCACTAACAATAGTTATTTCAGAAAGCACATGACAGAACTTAAATAATTGTAGAGGATAAATCATTTTATCTGTCTGCTGGTCAAGGTACGAACACCATCTCTTCAGGGTGACATTTTCCTTGGCCATCTTCAGAGCTCTACATATTAGTGAATGTATCGCTGTGGGTGGCAATTCAAGGCAATCTAAGGAGCCATCTCTTGGAGGACATTTCCCTGAGTTTGGACTCAGGTACCATTACGATTTGCTGCTCAAAGATTGATTGGCTGGGCAGAGGTGCCATGCTAAACATGGCAGTGTCCTCTCAGGAGGGCCCCTCCCCCCTCTGTGACACCTCCAGGTTCCTCCGGAGAAGGCCACCTGGCCCAAGACCATTGCTCATCCATGGCCTTACCTGGCCAAATATCAGTTTTCCAGGGGCTCCAGGGTTTTGAAAAAAGCTACCACCATTTGCAGCCCGGACCCTTCCCCAGATTTGGCCTTCCAGTGGCTAGAATTAAATTCCTCAGGGGATGGTCTCTGAGTCATACTAGAGTTAAGTGTCCCAGTGCACCTGATCTCACATTATCTTGTTCTTTGGTTTGCAGGATTATCACCTAAGAAGGTCTGGATTTGCGGGCACAGTATTGTGCATTGGGCCCACGCTCGTGCAACAGAATCCATCTGGGAAGAGAACCTGGGTTTTCCTTCCTACATACAGATATCCTGGATCACTCAGAGGGGAATGAGATGGCATCACGTGCTGCCACTTCTGACAAATCAAATCTCCTTGTTGGGTCCACCTGATTTCATTGTCTTCCAGGTGGGTGAGAATGAGCTGGGTGAATGGAGAGCCATTGACCTCACCAGGGTCATTGCTAAGCACTTGGAGACCTTACATGCTCAGTACCCACAGATCATCCTCTGCTGGTCTTATCTACTGGAGAGGCAGTTTTGGTTTGGCCAGGGGGGTTGCATCCTCCAGGGATCTGTCATGAATCGAGCCAGGAAGAGTTTAAATCGTAGAATAAAGCGCAAGGTGCAGTTCCTGGGTGGTATGGCAATTCGGCACCCTAATATTACCTTGAAAAATGGGGCCATATTCAGACGTGATGGAGTGCATCTGACTGACATGGGTAATGATATTTGGTTGTCTGATCTGGTGGGATGCTTAAGGTTTTGGCTTCAGATATGAGTGGTTTGGTGGTGAGCTTGAGTGGTGGTTTAGGCATTGTATAGGCATAATCTTGGTTAGAGGGGAGGTTGTAGTCTGTGCCTGACACCTCCAAAATGGGGCATCCCATTAGAGGGATCCAGGGGAGATGCTTTCAGCTGGCCTGCCTGCCAGAAGAACTTACATTTTGGGGTCAACTAGAAATGAGGGAGTTCCTGACCTACATCAAGGAGTAACTCCCCAACTTGATTGCGCTTGGGGAGTGCTAAGTGCTTGATTTGAGTCTACACAACACCTATGCCACACCTCTTACATCTACAGTCACTAAAGTTGTGGTCTGATTTCACCCAAATAATGGCTGTCGTGCCTCTTATTCTTGCGGAGGACCAAGCGGTAGGAGGTAATGCCTTGCCACACTATTTTAGGAAATGCTGGTCTAGCAGCTAAATGCCACTTAGCAATGTATAAGAGATAAGGTAGATTCCCTCCCCTGCCCCCAAGCATACAGTGGTGCCTCACAAGACGAAATTAATTCGTTCCGCGAGTTTTTTCGTCTTGCAAATTTTTCGTCTTGCGAAGCACGGTTTCGGAAAAGTTTTGGAAAAGCTTCAAAAATCACCAAAGTCTTCAAAAACCTCAAAAAAGGCTACCACACCGCGTGCTATGAGTTGCTCCTCGAAGTCAAGTCACAACTGTATTAACGGTTTTAAGAAAAAGGAAACAAACTTGCAAGACGTTTTTGTCTTGCGAAGCAAGCCCATAGGGAAATTCGTCTTGCGAAGCAACTCAAAAAACCAAAAACCCTTTCGTCTTGCGTTTTTCGTCTTGCGAGGCATTCGTCTTGCGAGGTACCACTGTACCAGCACCAACAACATTTATTTTAGAGAACATATGAGAAAACCTAAATAATTGTGGAGGATATTTAAAATCTAGAACCAGCAGAGCAAAATGGATTATGCTGCTCCTACTCTGCTAGTCACAAAGTTTATTTCCATGCTCCATCCTGTTATTGATTCCATTTAGACAAAGAACACCTTCAGTGTTATTCATCTGGTACTGGTTTTCATGAGGGGTTTGACATAGTGCCACAATTATACCAAATACTTAATCACCTTTGAGCTCTGGGATCTCTTTATATGCAGATTTCTCCTTGGCCTGAATGGGAGTTTTAGTGGGTAAGGAAATGTCAGAGTTTGGTTCAAGCACTATTAACATCTTCCTGTACCCTTTGTGTGATAGCTTGCCAGTGGTGTGATTGGCAGGGAAAGGTGATTGTAATGCTTTTACTAAGCCTACATTAAACTGACTCAAAATACAAGATTGTTCCTTTTGTAATACCTGGCTGCCTTATGAAATAAGTGGCATTTCCCATAAAACTATTTATCCAGCTTGGTATTTAAATAACACACCCTCTCCCTTCCTGATGGCTTAAAAGTTGCATCAGGGGTGTCCCAGGCACTGAAAGCAGCAATCAGGCCATGGGGGCTCCTAAGTAAGCACTTGGGAAATATGACTGGGTCCAGATTTTGGATTTGGCAGTGGAGGATGATTGAATATCCACCCATCTATCCAGTGAGCATTGGACATTATCACTTTTCAGCTCATAAATATCACTCTTAGCTATTACACCTGGGGTCTGGGGTCTTCTGCCCCTTTAGCTGACCACCAGGACCCTCCCTGGCCCACCTAGTCCAGCCACACCCCTAACTGGCCCTGCTTCCAAGCCACATTGAATGCTTTTGCTTTGCAATAATGTTTCCTCAGAACTCTGATACATTTTCCTAGATAGAAGATAAGAGAGGGTTGAGTGTGAGTGTATAGCAACTAGCCTACTGTACAATGGTAAAACTTGAATTTGTTGCTTTACCTGCTTTTGTCTCTTACCCTGCCTAAAACTGGCATTGGCCTCTGGAAGGTTTCCCAGGAGGCAACGTGGCTCTCTACCTAAAAGGGTTCCCTACCTCTTCTCTTGCTACATTTCAAGGCCAACATTACTGAACATGTAAGAGCTAGAATCCGATAAAACCTTCACTCCCAACCTTTTGTGCTCAATAATCAAATGTGTGACACATTAGGATCAAAGCACCACAGGGTTCAAATACCATGCTAGTTGACATGTGTAGAGACATAAATGCAGTGATAAGAATGTAGGTGTGTGATCCAGAAGAACCAGGGAATTTGTTAGCAGGTTTATAGAAGGAACTGAGGTACAAAATCTGGCGACATTCTCATTGAATTGAGATGATGCTCCAAGTTTTCAACATTCTGCATTTAACAATTGTTTCAGTCAAGGAAGGGCATCACCATAGTTTCAGACCATTAGCATATTTTCCCCCAGAATTGTTTACACTTCTGGCAAGTCACTTTTTCTTTATGCATGATTTTAAATGTGCAGATCTATATTAATCAATAAATTTGAAAACAGGCCTTAAATTTTTGCTGAAAACCTTGACCTTCCCCAAATACTCTGACACTCTTGTGCAGTGCTTTCCCCCCTAGAAAAGTAGATGCCAGTATGCACTATGAAGTTGTTACAGTAAGTGCAAAAAAGAGGGGGAGATGCCAGTACTGCGTACCCTTGAGTACCCCCCTGAAGAAGAAAAAGCACTGTTCTTGCATGGCAAGGCATCCCCCCAACTCTTTGGTCCTCCCCAATACCAAGAATAAGAGACGTGACAAACACTATTTGGGTGAAATCAGACCACAACTTTATTGATTGTAGGCTTGGCATAGGCATTGGGTAGACCCCACCGCCCTTCCAGCCTGCCAGCTGAAAGAACTTGAGTTTTGGGGTTAACTGGAAATGAGGGAGTCCCAGACCTATATCAAAGGGTAACTCCCCTACTAGACTGCATCTGGGGAGTGCTGTGGCCTCTCATTCTCACTTGGGCTTCTGGACAGAAGTATCTCCCCTAGATCCCTTTAATGGAATACCCCATTTTGGAGGAACCATGCAGAGACGTCAACCTCCCCATGTGACCAAGACTATATTTATCCAATGGCTAAACCACCAAAGTTGTGACAATTGCCACAAGGATGGCAAAAAGCAGAAGACGAATGTCAATTTGCCAACTGAGAAAATTCCAACCTGGCCATGCCATAACCATGCCATAACCATGAAATAACCATGAAACAGCAGCATGTAAAAGTAATAGTACCACTCTATTCCACCTTGGTCAGACCATACCTAGAATACTATGTCCAATTCTGGGCACCACAATTTAAGAAGGAGATTGCCATATTTTGAAGAGCAAAAAAGAGGGCACACTTTTGCTGCCTTCTACTTTTAACTATGACGAGTCTACCCATGAAAAAGATGACATATGGATAGAACGTGGGCAACCAAGATGATCAAGGGTCTGGAGACCAACGCTTACAAGGAGCGCTTGAAGGAACTGGGTTCTTCAAGAAAGGAGATTTCGACTAAACATACGGAAAAAAAACTTTCTAAGATCTGTTCAACAGTGGAGCAGTCTTCCTTATAAGGTTGTGGACTCTCCTTCCTTGGAGACTTTGAATCAGACGTTGGATGGCCACTTGTCATGGATGCTTTAGCTGAGATTCCTGCATTGCAGAGTTGAACTAGATGACTTTTGGGGTCCCTTAAAACTCTACCATTCTATGATTCTATAAAAGCGGGTGGGAGATCCAATGAAAAGTGACTGCAGAGCAAACTACATGCCTATTCAATAAACTGGAGGGGCAGACTAAGCCCAATCCATGGTGGTCCATGCCCACTTGCAATTCACTGATTAGGTGAGTAGGCAGGACCAATTAGCCAGGCAGCAAGCTTGGCTCAGAGGCTTCATTTGCTGCCTGGGACTTTGCACGTCAGATCCGGGCACACAGGGGAATGCCAGCCCGCAGCCAAAGAAAGTGAGTGAACTTCCCAAGCAAGACCTGTAATGGTGATCTGCTAGACCAGGGACTACTAAATAAGAAGTGAAAAGCCAGCTGTATGTGAAGGTGATGGCCCTGGACTCTTACAATACCTTTGTGTTTGCAAAAGGTGAGAACATACATTAAGGGTGACACTGACCAAGTTCCAGGAATAATGCTCACTTTCCAAATTTGGTATGAATTCTGATCGATATATTTCAGAAGAAATTTGATAAGTGGTACAAAATTATGCTGCGCCATCCAAGAATTGTCCCTCACCCATTGAAATTCATCAGCGTTTGTTCCTAATTTACGCTACTGTCCATAAGTTCAGAGCAGGGCACTGTCTGCTCTGCAATTAGCTCATCACATCTATGTTGCTCCAATCAAGATCTAAATAGTCAAAGCCGAAACATATAATTGGAGCTGGCATGGGTTATGTACACTGAATAACCTTTTCTCTTTTGTGAAATTATTTTTAGATATTTTTCTCATGCAAATATACAGATGTGCACACTTGGTGCCCTCTCCTGAATGAGTTATGCCATCATTGACAAGTGTCACATCTTCTTTAATTACAATACTTATGAAGAAAATTGTTAAGTAAGTTTCCCACATAATAAACAAAAGCGAATAAAGCTCATATTAGCTTATAAAGAACTTGATTATATCAACCAGCCCATTATTGGGAACATTAAGTTGAAGGCCTGGAAAGGTCAACAACATTATACTCTACTTTGGTGGTGAATGTACACGATGAGGACCATAATTGAAAAGAGATAAACAAGTCACGGGGCGGGGGGAGGAGAGAGAAAAGAAATGGGAACTATAGTGATTCTGTCACAGTACTATTAGGGTGAGAGACGTTCTGATGGCAATCAGCCAATGCCTTTTCCACCTGCCTTGCCTCACCCTCCAGCCCTTTCCCAGACCATGACTTTAAGAACAGCAGAAGCAGCTGGGAAGAGAGAAGAGGAGTTTAGGGATATTTCTTAAAAATTAATTTTATAAGTTGTGTGTCTTTGTTCCTCAGTTCGATCCTTTTACATTTTTATATGGTTTTGTGTGTTTTGTGGTATTTTATGCACTGTGTCTTGCCATAATTTTTATTGATTATAGTTTAGTAATTCTTTATTGTAATTGATAAGTGTAAACTGTTTATTATTTGCTGATACTTAATTTTACTGTTTACAATTATATTCTAATGGATTATTGAATATTCCTTTTTTTGTTTATATGTTTATTTTAAAGTTATTGTAACTTATATTTTTGATAACCAAATCTCACAATTCGGGAAAGACCTGCTAGAGAATAACCAAAAAATAATGTCTAAAATGTCTAAAATGCTGTTAGAATGGCAAACAAAAATGTTTAAGTTGAAATCAGATACCTGTTGGAAATGCAAAGAGAAAGAAGGTAACATTTTTCATATGTATTGGTCATGTAAGGTGGTTAAAGCTTTCTGGGAAATGATATATAATGAATTTGGGGGGGGGGTGCTAAGGTTAACTTCTGTGTGTTTTTTTTTAAAAACAAAATGCCAGAAGCTTTTCTCTTAGGAATAATTGGAGGAGAGATATGTAAAGAATAGAAAATTTATTGATTATTTGAAGGCACACTGTAAAGAACTTA